TATGTCGTATTTTTCTGCAGCAATATTTTAAATAGTGTTTCATTATACATACCACTGTATAAAGTTATCTATCTATATACATACATACATACATATATATATGTATATATATATATATCATTTTCCTATTTTTTTTTGAGACTAGGTCTCACTCTATCACCTGGGCTAGAGTGCAGTGGCATCATCACAGCTCACAGCAACCTGAAACTTCTGGGCTCAAGTGATCCTCCTGCCTTAACCCTCCCGAGTAGCTGGGACTGTTAGTGTGGCAGTCTGCTCTCTGTTCTTGGTGTGCTCTTAGCCAAAGAATGACCAGACACAACAGTGTCAGGTCCAGCCTCTTGGCGGACGGACTGTTATCCTAGTTCTTTGGCTCCCTGCTTGAAAAAAAAAAAAATCACAAGCAGGGCCAGAGCAACAGAGGGACCACAAGCAGGAAGCAGTTTCACACGAGTAGCTTTTTATTATAAAATGAAACAGGTCTGTCTCCGAGAGTGGAGACAGACTGACTTGCTGGCTCTCTGGGAATTCTCGAGTTGTTTCCTTTTATTGGTCTGTTTTGGGGGAAGGGCTTTTGGGAGGTGTGGGATGTTACCAAATGATGAACAGGTGTTCTGAAGGTTGTGTCTGTGAGCTCCTTCTCTGAAAGCCCTACGTGGCAGGGAGAATGAACCACAATGTAGATTTAAGCTAATACATCATAATTAGCCTTAGGTTACTCTAGGTCACTTTCCAAATCCTGTTCTGCCTAGGCTGGGGGAATTCCCAGATTGCTAAAGCAGCCACTCCTCCTCCAGGTGTAGCAGTAGCTTGGGATAGGATTACAGGTGGGAAAACACCGGACTGGAGTGCCTGCCCTTACCCTTCTTCCCAGGTGGGGCAATTGCTCAAAGCAGGGCACCCTTGTCCCTAGAAGAGTTGGAGATCTACCTGATAGGACTACAGGTGTGTGCCACCATGCCCATCTAATTTTGGTATTTTTTTCGTAGTGACCAGGTCTTTTTTTTTCTTTTTTTTTTGTTTCTTTTTGTGAGCAGTGGAAGATAATAGTGACCAGGTCTTGCTCTTGCTCAGGATGGTCTCAAACTCCTGGCCTGAAGAGATCCTCCCGCTTCAGCCTCCTAGAATGCTAGGATTACAGGCTTGAGCCACTGAGCCTGGCCTCAAGTTATCAGTATTCATTTAATTTTTATATAATTTTTTATTCTTAACAGTGCTTTAAGATTCTTTATATATATGCATGATTGGAACAGATCCCTAGAATTGGAATTGCTGGGTCAAAGGATACTTTTGTTTTAAGTCACATTGCCCTGTGGAAAGCTTGCACCAATTTAAATCCCCACCTATGATGTATGAAATTGTTTGTTTCATAAACATAGAGCAGTATTGGAAATTGCCCTTTTAAAAGATTATTACTACTTTAGGAAGTGAAAATAAAAGTATATCATGCTTATTTTAATTTGTATTTAATTATCAGTAAGTTGAACTTCTCCATTGGCCAGCTATTTGGCTTTCCTTTGTTAGAATGTTTTCATCTAATGCTTCTTTTTATTGAAAAATATGAAAACCATACATTTATTTTGTTTTTCATCTTGCTTAAAGGCAAAATAATTTTTTTCTGATTAGTTTTGTAATTTGTGTTTTAGTACTTAACCATCTCGCCATATCTTGTCAATGTTATCTACAAAGTTAAATGTTTTTCTCAACATCAGCCTGTAGGGGGCATTCTAAACCAATTTTTTTGGAAATCAAGGAACCAAATTTAAGACTCTTAAAATTGTCTGTGATCCAGGGGCAGTCCCGGCGGGTTCAAGTGGAAGTGAAGTCTGTGCAGGAATCCGGGACGTTACCGCTGATGGAAGAATGTATATTGTCTGTTGGCATCGGATGTGTCAAAGTTAGACCGCTCAGGTCCCCCAGAACGCACGAGACCTTCCATGTAAGTTTCTATGCCTGTTACCTTCTTGGTGAAAGACAAAACCAGACCAGAGAGTCTTTTGAAACCTGTATAAAAACTGTCTCCTGTGATGAGTTCTTTCAGTATATCTATTTTCCTTTGAATTTATTTTATTTTATTTTATTTTTTTAGCATATTGCAATTTTTTTGGAATCACTGCACCCAGATCATTAATGGTTTTGCCCTGGTGTGCATGGCAAGCTGAGGGTTAAGACATCTCAGCCTTCACAGACCCCACAGTGACTAATGGTGATTAACCTCCTCTACACGCCCCACCCCTCTGCAGAAACCCCCTACTGGCTTGTAAAAACTATCTGCCAGCAGGTGTTTGATTTTCCCTGGTGAGTGGGACTATAAACCCAGCAGGGAAAACGTTGTACCAGTGCCCGAAAAGGTCAAATGAGCGTTCTTCACTTTGCCATGAGAAACTCCAGGTTTTACTCCAACTTCCTGACAACTGCAAAACTCAGGGCGAGGGGGAGGTGGAAATAGTATGTTAATTAAATTAGACAGCAATAAACTGTGGGGGAAGATTCCGGTGGTTTAGCGTAGCCTGACTTTTGGGTAAATAATTATCTTGGTTCTACGTAATATGTTTTTTTCTCTTAGGAGGAAGAGGAAGACATGGACAGCTACCAGGTAATGTAGCACCTGTTAACCTCATCAGTTAAGCTTGGTTAAAGTACATAATTACACATGCCTGGATCTTGCCATAGTTGTCACTTAATAATTAAACAATTCATTTTAATTCAAATACTGCTTTTTTTAAAAAATAAGTAAAACAAAATAGGGAGCAATGAATATTGTTTCCTAAACCATATAGTAAGATTTGTCATGAGCAGGAAATCATCTGTGACTCTTTGGAACCTGGAGCTCCCCATCCAGAGTCCCTGAAGTTCCATTTCTCCAAGTCCTCTTCCCTGGACTTTTCCTCTGCTTGGGTAGAGTCACACGCCTACTGTCCCTGTCCCAGTGGTCTCATTCCCAGCTTCAGTCAAGCCCTAGGAATTTTGCATATTTGAAGCCAAATATTCCATCCCCACCTCCTGGAATTGTACAGGGTTTGCAATAGAAAAATTTTTCCCTTTTTCTTTTCTCTCCTTTTCCTAACCTCCTGCATGGTTTTGTTTATGTCTGTGAAGTTTCATCCTGTTAGTCATCGCTGAGGACTGTCAGGGCTCTTTGGAGCCTGATTATGTCATCCCGTGTAGTCACTCTCCTGGTTTTGCATCATTCTAATTTGATAGAAACGTCTGCCTTCCTATAAGTCTCACTGATAAACACAGCGCGTCAGCTGGGGCTCAGTGCAGAGTGCACAGCCGTGGAGACCTTCTCTAAGCTGATGTTAATCACTGTTCTTTGGATGTGATATTCGAGTCCTCTGTGGTTTCGCTCGAGTAGCTGCGTTGCACGTTGCTCCATCTTGTCCACAAGAATGTCAGAGGCTATTTGGGTGAGCGCCCTGGTGAAGTCCAGACACACGGCATCTGCAGCATTCCACGGAGCGACCCGCCTCCTAACTTCGTTAGGAAAGGAAATGGGGGGCGGGGAGCGGCCTACACGCAGGTGTTGCCAGGAGAGTGGTTAGTCTGTCGATGACAACCCCTCCCCCCTCTCCCCCTCCACTTGCCCCCAAAATGCACAAAAACGGGGGGAAAGGAGAGAAGCATTTCCATGTTATCCTCAAGAGCCTAGCGAAACATGTAGAAAGCAATAGCTATGAAACTTGAAGCGTTCTTCTGATTACTCTAAGATACATCAATATGAAGACTAGCGAGTCCTATTTGTGATTTCTTTCCAGCAAAGAGACCTTTTAGAAGATTTTTGTTGCAAGTACTTAGAGTTCTACCCCTGAGCCATTAGAGATGCAACTGGTTCTGGATACCGAAAACAGTCTCTCTCTAGAAAATGATGATTTGGACTCTGAGAGTAGCTGTCTCGAATTGTGGGTGTAGTTAACTGGTGGTGGCAATAGAACTATTATTGCAGGATGCTTTACACTCTCAGAGCTTCCTAGGGTAAGGTAAGATGGAACACCAGGTCCAGATATGTTACCTTGACATTGTATTGAATTTGATTTCCTTGGGTTTTTTTTCCAGGATCGAGATTTAGAGAGACTTCGTAGAAAATGGCTAAATGCATTAACGAAACGCCAGGAGTACCTGGATCAACAGCTACAAAAGTTTGTCAGTAAACCTGGTAGGGAAAACAATTCGAATATTTCCCTCCCCCCAGAATCAGTGCATAATTAATTAACCCCATTTGTAGCCACATAAGTTAGAGCCGGGTGAGCACATCAGAAATGGGGACGGCAAGAGCACATGGGTGTCACTCCTTGTTTGTGTCATGTCTTTTCAAAGGAACATTAATCCTGTTGTAATAATGTGTGGGTGTAGGCCCCTCCATGCCATCCCCCGCTCCCCTCAACAGAGACGGAGAAAATACAGTGCACAGCATAGACACTGTCCCTCCAAAATAACTTGAAGGAAGGTGTCACTGTTTCTTGTCCAAAGTGCTCGAGTTATCTGACGCTGGGCCAAGTCACTCCTGTGCTGTCCCACTGTGGGTCTTGCATGAACTGACAAGAGTCACTCTGCAAGGCTCACCTGACCCCTCGAGCTTTGAGTTAGCTTTTTATTAGTTGAGCACTCATCAGCCAATAAGTGAAATACAGGCGCGGCTAGTCTAGTCTGTACTCAGGACGAACGTGTAAATAGCAAGTGAGCTGTCTGAGTCTAATTCTAATGTTCTAGATAAAACAGAGGATGATGCTGACCGCGAAGCCCAACTTCTGGAGATGCGGTTGACCCTAACTGAGGAACGGAACGCGGTCATGGTCCCCTCTGCCGGCAGTGGGATTCCAGGGGCCCCAGCAGAGTGGTATGAACCCTCCAGGGTGACTTCTGGAGTTCTGAACGCTCACTAAGCCACTCGCTTTCAGTTTGAATTTTGCATGTGCCGCAGTTAGTGGAAGATTTGTAATGGCGTATGGGGAAAAAGTTGTTTGAACTAAAGAAACTGTTAAATTACTTTCACGAGTGGAATAACTATAGCTGAAAACCGTTTTATTAAATAATATTGTTATTGGCCAAAGTCATTAAGATTTCTGAGAACCTAAATCAATATTTAGTACTGCTGCACTTAGCATTGAAAAAATAGTTAATATGTTAATGACTTGGGTCATTCCTTTAAAAGACTGTTTGGTCATAAGAAAATTGCATCTCCACACGTTTTTGGTTTTGGTGCTGGCTTAAACTGTCCTGTCAGCAAATGTTCTGTGCCACTTTATAGAAATTAAAAACAGTAAATTAAGCCACAGGGAGCCCTTAAGTATATCATTTTATTAAAAAAGTAGGTTTAAATAAGGGAACTTCACTGTAAACAGGTAGGTCTGTCTTGTGAGTGTCAGAACGTGTGACGCAGCAGCTACAGCTGAGACTGTGTCATCTCTGAGGTTGGAACCAGTGGCCCAGGTGGTTACTGCCCTGCAGGGGCTCTGGGTGCCTGTCCAGGCTGTGTTTTGAGGTGCATGCGACTGAGAAGGTGTGCTTGACTGCAGATGCCATTTGCTCTTCATGTTATAGGACGCCGGTGCCTGGGATGGAAACCCACATTCCTGTTATATTCCTCGACTTAAATGGTAAGTGAGGAGGCGTTTTCTGAAGGTTCACCTCTGACAAGTCAGTGCCCACATGACACTTAGACTCGAACCACCTGTATCATCAGGCAATTCTGTCTGCCTGAGATAGTCAGTCTTTCGTATGCCGGCATACTCTGGTCCTTGACAGAGACTGAATTGTTTGTTGAGAGTCGTATTTTTGTAACAGTAAAAGGAATCTTGCTTTATCATGCACGATCCACGGTGCTATGGGATGCTCTGTTCTCCCAACAGGTCAGGATGGTAGTAACATTTTCCTGCACTTAAAGTATTTTCTTTGGCCAGGTGCGGTGGCTCACGCCTGTAATCCTAGTACTCTGGGAGGCAGAGGCAGGAGGATCGCTTGAGGTCAGGAGTTTGAAACCAGCCTCAGCAAGAGCGAGATCCTGTCTCTACTAAAAATAGAAAGGAATTAGCTGGACAACCAAAAAGTATATAGAAAAATTAGCCGGACATGGTGGCGCATGCCTGTAGTCCCAGCTACTCGGGAGGCTGAGGCAGGAGGACGCTTGAGCCCAGGAGTTTGAGGTTGCTGTGAGCAAGGCTGATGCCACGGCACTCTAGCCCAGGCAACAGAGCGAGACTCCATCCCCAGAAAAAAAAAGTATTTACTTTAATTCCTAGGGAAAGCTATCTCTCGGGATAGGACTAGTAACTAGCAATACTTATGTAACACGTTTTCCTCTTTTGGTGTTTCCTTAGCATTATCTAATAAATTTCTCAATCTTCTCTGTGAGTTCTGGTGCCATGCATTCCTGCCTTGCTTATTTTTTTTTTTTAGAGTAACTGTCATTTTTCTGATCCCCTCCCCCATGTGAAATGTTTTGAGTCTGGATACATTTTACATCAATTCTGCCTGTAGGAAGAAAAATAGAAAATGGAAAGGTAGATTCAGGAGCTAAAAATAAGTTAAAAGTCAGCAGTTAAATTCCTACAACATCTGCAGGAGAACTGTGTATTAAAATTAACTCCTCTGAATAGACATGCTTGGATGTCCTCAGTGGTTTTCTTCCACTGGGCTGACAGTGAGTTATATATATTAGCATCCTGTGCTACTTAGCTTACTTACATGGAAGGTTTTTATAAGCGTGCAGAGTTAGGGAGTAACACTGAGCTTTGCCACCGTTATCTGGCAGCCTGCTGGGGTGGGAGCTTCTTCCTTATTGCACTGCTGTGAGAGCCTGTCCCAACTTGTTGTTCTCTTGAAGCTTGGGGACCGAGGGTGGCTCTGGCCTGTTTCTCTGTTAGGCATCCTAGATGGGTGAGGGACTCATGTATGTAGTCGGTGGTGTGTGAGAAAGTGGAACAAAATAAGGAAGACCAGTTAGTCTGGATATCCGCAGAGATGATCAGGACTTTGGTTGGCCTTAGGCATGTTCTTGGCTCCAACACGCCACTTACTAGAAAAGGCACTTTGGTGTCTGCTCACAGGCCACCGTGGCAGGGAGCTGGGGGGCCGTGGGACAGCACTCAGTTTCTGGCACATGGAGCTGTGGATCCTTTTGTCAAACTTTACTGGAGTCACTGTTGCTTATTTCTCATTTCTTCAGTGTGCTAAAAGGTGAAATTTGAGTTATAATCCTCTCATTGACATTTATGAGCGGACATTGGATAACCTCTTAGGTATCTTGGCTTCATTTGCTTTATAAATGAAAAATAAGGCATAAATGAGGCTATTTAGATAATTTCTTGAGGCACTTTCTGTCTCTAAGATCTGTGAACTTTTGAATGGTTATCATCAGTGTCACGAAGATTTCGGAGCAAAAAGCAAATGAAATTGGAAGCAGAAGAATTTTAATAAGCACATGGAGATTTAGCTGGGAGGGTTATCCTTTAAAACGATCTCAGTATTTACTGGAGCGTCTTTGCTTTTAGCTGATGATTTCAGCTCTCAGGATAATCTCGATGACCCAGAAGCTGGTGGGTGGGATGCCACGCTGACGGGGGAAGAGGAAGAAGAGTTCTTTGAGTTGCAGATTGTAAAACATCATGAAGGAGAGGTGAGTGCAGCGTCACTCGGGGAGATCAGATAAAAAAGTGATTTCCTTATGGTTTCCTGGAGTTTTTTGAAACCATCAGCAAGAGGATCATTTCAGTGCTTACATATCTTAGAATACACGAATGAAAACTTTTCATTATGACTTCCAGCATGGGGAGGTGAAATGGCACGATGTTTGGGATCTGCTTTGGAATTCTTGTGTAAGGATTTCTTAAAAAGGCAAAAAAGGATCATTGAAGGCAATGTGGCGAAATCTTGATTTTAGTGGTTGAATCTGAGTGATGGGTATAGCAGGGGAGTTTATTCTCTAAGTTTGAGTATGTTTGAAAAATTATATTGTAGAATATTTGCAGGAGGGGTAAGCTGGTGTGTGATGCTCTAAGAACACGACATTACTTAGTGATGTCCCTAACTAAGATGCAAAACTTGAACCTAATGCGGAGGAAACCATGAGACACCCCTGATGGCGGTACATTCTGTACAACAGCGGGTCTGCGCCCTTCCCGTCTGTGTCAAACACGACCAAGAAAGGCCCAGGCAAGATTTGAGGTTAAAATAGGCTAGAGGGACATGACAGCTCAATGCAGTTTGTTATCCTGGGCTGGGAAAACTGAAAAATTTGAACATGGATTTTGTATTAAATAATGTATCGATGTTAAATTTTCTGAATGTGATAATTGTGTGCAGTTTACTCAAAAGTGATTCAGCAATACTAATAATGTTTGTGCACTGTGAGAAAGAGAAGCAAAAGTGACCACATGCTAACAGTCGATGGGTGAAGAAGGTACATAGGTACACGATGTGAGGTACATAGGACGTCACTGTGCTGAATTTTTGCAACGTTTCTGGATATTTGCACATTTTATAAAATAAAAGAATTTTAAAAACAGCCCAGCCGGGAACGTCATGCTCTGCATCCTCCAGGCTGAGGACTGAGGTCGCGCCCTCACGTTCCGTCGTCGTGCCTGGCGGTTCTCACGCTAGAACTTCGCTGGTGGCCGGCATGTCCCCCTCCAGCCCAAGCCGAGGTAGTTCCCTCGAGAGCGTTTTTGTTTCTTTGGAGAAAAGGGACAGGCGTTTTCTGTCTGCTCCGCAGGTTAAAGCAGAAGCCTCCTGGGACTCGGCGGTGCACGGCTGCGCCCAGCTCAGCAAGGGCACGCCCGGCGACGAGCGGGTGTTTCTGATCGTGCGCGTCACCGTGCAGCTGAGCCACCCGGCAGACATGCAGCTGGTGTTGCGCAAGAGGGTCTGCGTCCACGTTCACGGCCGGCAGGTGAGTCTTCGGTTCTGGTGGAAGAAATGACTTTAACCGCAGGTGCGGCACAAGGGTGGGGGTGCGGCGGGGGTGCTCGGGCCACCGTCCAGACGGGCTGGGGAGCACCCAGCTTTGCTTTTCCTGGTCCCTGTCACTCTCTGTCCTGCAGGCCCCAAGCGTGTCATCCCAACATCCTTCCTGGAGTATTAAATTGTCACGTTGAATCTCTCTTACGGCAAGTTCACAAACTGCAGTCATTCTTGTGGGTGCCACACAGCCATGGGATGGGCAAGTTCACGTGGGTCCTGCACGGCGAGGAGGCCCCTGGCAGGCCAGCCGTTAGCTCCTCAGCAGGGGCCGCTGACCCTCCTCTGTCCAGAGCTTTTCCCTTGCAGTCTTGGATTCGTATATTTGGCTTTGGGATCCAAAGGTGAATGAGAAGTGAGCTGGGCACAGTGGTACATGCCTGTAGTCCCAGCTACTTAGGAGGCTGAGGCAGGAGGATCACTTGAGTGCAGGAGTTCAAGACTAGCCTGGGCAGCATAGCAAGACCCCATCTCTCTCTCTCTCTCTCTCTCACACACACACACACACACACACACACACACACACACAACAGTCTGTGTCCTGAGCCAAGTTGATTTGCATATGTAGATACCTAAACAGGCACCTGCTCCATGCTGGGATAAGAGTCGTAGGGCAGGTGGTCACCACTCGCTGTGAGGTTGCAGGTGAAAGAAGGAAGAGTTCCGACTGAGGAAGTCAGGGAAGGCTTGGAAGAGGAGGGCCGCATCTGAGCTGGCACTTTGCAGAAGAGGGGTGTGACCAGGAAAAGGACGGGAGATGGGTGATGCGTGGAGAGGGGAAATGCACGTGCGGAGAGCGTGAGGAAGGAGGAACAGGGCAGGGTCTGGGGACTGTGAGAAGCACAGTGTGACAAGGTGGACTGGGTGTGCCAAGGACCGTGGCCTTCACTGTAGCTGCAGCCAGATTGTGGAGGACCTCATGCCACATGAAGGGGTTTAGTGGAGAACGTCTGCATAAGAACTCACACTCTTCCTGTCACTGGTTTTGCAAATGGGAGGACTTGGGAGATGGCATCTGGAGATCCTTTGTAACTGTCTTATCTCCCTTTCTTGAGGCATTCTCCATACACTGACTAAAACCAGGATAGATGAAACTCTTTTCATTTAAAAGAGCACAGTCATGGTTGACGGGCTCCTAGATGTAATCTCCACCCCTAAAAATTAATCTTTAGTTCTAAATGTCACACTGATATCAATCTTTGAAATGAAGACTGGCGGTAATGCTGTTAAAATTGCAGCTCTTTAGCTTGGCGATCCAACATCAATAAAACTTGGGTCGCGGGGTTAGCCGGAGACGTGTATGGCGTGTCTCCCGATCGCTGTCGCCCTTTTCTCGTAAGCCTGTGAGGGACTGAAAAAGACACCCTGCTCCTGGGGAGCATTTGGAAGAGTGATCTTCCATTTCAGAGTCAGACGTCCTGGGTGCCAGGCCCTGACGCTTACCTGGCCACAACCACTGGCCCTGCAGAGTCTCCAACAGAAAAGGGACATTGTGGAGTCACTATGTTTCTACTGTCTGTTTGGATTTTTTTTTTTTTAACTGTAGGGACAAGTTTCCACGTTTTTTTTATTTGTTTTTTTATTTCCTGATTGAAATAATTTTAAGGCGTGCCATTTTCCCTCTCAATTTCAAATATTTCTTTCCCCCAAATTGCTTCTTTGTAGCAAGAACAGAGCCTTCCATGATGACCTTAATGCCTGCAGGTCAGTTTCACTAAATCCATACAAGTAGAAAACAAACGCGACAAGACAACAGTAGCACCCATACCTTCCTCCACCGCCCCTATAAAAAGCTGTAACTGGCTCTACCAGTGTAACTGGCCTTGTCCCAGCACTGCAAGGCTGAAGTCAGGGAGGGAAGGGATGAAATAAACAATCTGTCTGCATTCTGAGATGCTAAAGTGTTTTAAGAAATTGACTAAAGATCAATGAATATGAAATAAATTACCAGATAGGTTTGTGAAATTACACATTTCACAAACCTAGCTAAGACCAACTACCTTGATCTATTTTTTTTTTAGGTTTTCACATTTCTGCCTCCCCTTTTGCATGGGGGGAAAGGCTCGGTGCCCCTTGCGTGTCCCTCTCCTGCCCACCTTTGTCCACCAGTGGTGGGTGCTCCACCCCTGTGGCCGCTCTCTCCAGCCTGCAGGGCGTCCGCATTAGCATCTCCAAATGAGTCATCCGTGCATTAATTCAACAGTTCAGTTCTAACTGTGCAAGGCGCGCAGTCAGCATAAACAATGACCGTGCACTCTTAAATCATTCTTCATAACGATCCTGCTTTGGTCAAGAATTTAATGCCTGAACCTGTCAATATTCATGGGACAAGATGTCCATCAAGCTGGGGGGATAAAAGTGTGAGCGTCACCAGTCCCTGTTTACGGCTTAGCTGGAAGGTCATTTATTGTGTGGAAGTCAACAGCCTTACTTCTGTAGCATGTAAGCAGAGCTTATCCAGTTCTTAGTGTCAGGTTCTGCACTTTACAGTTTGTACTTTTCCTGTGTTGGTTATAGAGACGAGTCACACACCGCAGGCATCTAACAAAATGATTCTGTGCCGTCTGTTTGTGCTAGGATGAAGTCAAGGAAACTGTTTGGTGATCAGGATTTCACTTATGCTGGAAATGTGCTCTGCTTTCTTCTTGTCGGAATGAACACAGTGTCCTTTCTGCTGTCTTTTTGTTAAAGTAAACTCAGTTTGGGGGATGGGAAACTATATGTTCTGTTTTGTTTTTCTACAGGGTTTTGCTCAGAGTCTCCTAAAAAGGATGTCTCATCGAAGTTCTATTCCTGGCTGTGGAGTGACTTTTGAAATCGTCTCCAATATTCCAGAGGTGAAGGATCATATGCAATTTTCAAACTTACTAAAAATAAACCTTTAAAAAGAGCTAACTTCCTGAAAAGTCACCTACCCAAGGAATATGTATGAAGATGTAAAAAGATATATTTAGGGAAATGCTGTAGATTTTTAGAGGAATCTCCTACTCTTGATTCATAGTAAAATGTACTTGTGGCTTTAAAAGTTAGAGTTTTAATAATTTGTTGAAGAAAACCTTTCTTTTGAAAAGCAATTCAACACCTTTTTACTCATAGAACAGAAGAAGGTAACCCATGAGGGGAGGTGACGTAGCATAGTATGGAGATCCACATTTGATCTTGGACTCAAACAAAAGTCTTGTTTCTGTCACTTAGTAACCAACTTGGGCAAATTACTCTGAGTCTAAATTTTTTTGCCAAGTGGGGTTAGTGACATATCTGCACAGGGATTTTAAGGAGTAAAGGAGACAATGGTATAAATTGTTGTACGCATACTAAACAAATTGTAATTTCTATTGTTGTTATACCTATTATTTTGTTAGTAGTACTATTATTTGTGTTTCTAAACTCATGGAGATAGAGAATTCAGACAAGTGGAGCTTAAAATTATACCTGATAGAAGCTTGATGGAAGATGTGGCTTATGTTGCACATTCTTCCTAATATGTGATTCGTGAATTATTAATAGGTTTTTCCCCCAGGCAGTGGCGCAGCTGGGTGATGGGTGCACCTTGCAGGGGCAGGGGACGTGGGGGACCTAAGGAAGGACTGTGAAAAAGGAAAAGTCCCCTCTCCCCAATCACCATCAAAAAATGGGGAGAGGGTGGGGTGTGGAGACGTAGCTTCCTCGGAAGTGGAAGGGTGAGGGTGTGGGGGACACCCCTCCCTGACCACACCAGCAACGCGGCACCGCTCTCATTTCCTGGCGTAGGATCTGTCCATTGATTCTGTTGAATATTTGAACAATAAGAGGGCAGTGTATATTTGAATACAAATATCAGTTTTTACAAAAGAAAAAATAGATTACACAGTACTTAGGTTTTATTGTAGATAATCTTATATTGCAAAATGCTTTCCCTCTCAGATAACATCCCATAGTAACTAGCTCTTTCCTGGATCCTCCAAGTGTTAGACTTATGCAGTAAATATTGGCTATTTAACTATTTAATTTGGAGCCTGCTGAACATTTAAAAATGAAGCCTGTTTGCAGAGTCAGACTAGCTGCAAAATCCTGGGTCTGTAATAGATTACTCTGCGTGCTTCATTCACTCTTATAGGATTTAAAATAAGCATACGTATGTGTTTAGCTAGAGTCTTGCTGTTTAGTCTCTGTATCTAAAGACTTCACATGTTTTTCCAGTGGTTTGAGATCTTAGTAAGTGGCTTGGATGCAGCTGAGCAGCAGTGATGGCTACACTGAGCCGCCTTCCCTTTTCCCTTTTCTGCCTTCATCCCCCCCCCCCCACTTGTAGTTTTCTTAGCCATTTTATTTTATTTTATTTATTTTTTTTTTTTTTGAGACAGAGTCTCGCTTTGTTGCCCAGGCTAGAGTGAGTGCCGTGGCGTCAGCCTAGCTCACAGCAACCTCAAACTCCTGGGCTCGAGTGATCCTTCTGCCTCAGCCTCCCGGGTAGCTGGGACTACAGGCATGCGCCACCATGCCCAGCTAATTTTTTTATATATATATCAGTTGGCCAATTAATTTCTTTCTATTTGTAGTAGAGACGGGGTCTCGCTCTTGCTCAGGCTGGTTTTGAACTCCTGACCTTGAGCAATCCGCCCACCTCGGCCTCCCAAGAGCTAGGATTACAGGCGTGAGCCACAGCGCCCGGCCTTCTTAGCCATTTTAAATGTGCTTTTGTTCTTAGGTAAGTTTTAAAAGAGAATAAATGTGGGGGAATCAGCTTGAAAATAAACATAACCTCATGTGACAGGGCTGTTAATATATATTTTTTTCAGCATATTATGGGAGTACAAATGTTAAGATTACATATATTGCCCTTGCCCTTGCCCCCCTACGCCCTTGAGTCAGAGCTTCAAGCATGACCATCCCCCAGACGGTGCGCATTTATGTATGCATACACCCATCCCCTCCCCCCCACCTGCCCAACACCCGATAAATGTTATTCCTATGTGTCCACTTAGGTGTTGATCAGTTAATTTGCTGGTGATGGGCTGTTAATATTAATAACTAGCTAAACAGCCAAACTGGCAAACATTGTTGTCACATGATCAAATCCTGGTGATAAAGGAAAAGTGAAACATAAAGCTGATTGTGTAAAGATTTAAAAACAAAAAGATCCCTTAGTAAGCAAATTTTATCAATGAAAAAGCCCCCAAAAGTTTTTTGTGTTCCACGTTATGGAAACCACGAGGGCATCTTGGCAAAAGCAAATGGTCCCAGGCTAGGGAGCAACGAGACAGTTTATTTCTGTCCTCACAAAATCAGGATAATGTCTGGTCCGTGCAGACACTGAAAGTATTTTGTGCTGGGTGGTGAAAGACTATTCTGCTGGGGTCAGGAGACATAAGTTCTGGTCTTGCGTCCTCTGCTAATTATGTGGCCTTCCTCTCTTGTCATACGGGAAATGAGAACGGTTCCTTCTTTCTCCAGTGAGTTCAGGCTCCAGTGAGTTACTATAGGGGACGAAGTTTTTGTGAACTTAAGCCATCTTACAAATCCTCCCATATTTTAATCTGTTCTAAGGCTCATTTAAATCTTTAAAAATATCTTTGTCGTTAGAATGCGTTTTATAATTGATGGTATCCTAAAATTAATTGGCAGAGTTTTTTTTTTTTCTTAGTCGTATATAAAATTATGTTTTGTCTTACAGTTGATGGCATTTAAGATGCGGTGGCATATGGATGTACATTTTGTAGTTTTGACATTATTATAAGAAATGCACAAGTAAATAAAGTATCTGATTTTCCCTGAGGAGAGGAATTTGCTATGAACCCACTTTGCTTGAAATAAGTAAATACTTGAAGAAGTCCCTCCCTCACTTGGGACTGTCCCATTCATATGTGTGGCCAGCTCACGCCAGAGGAGCAGGGATGGGCGGGCTCCACCAGGAGGTTCAGTGCGTGAGACTTTACTGTCTCTCTTTCTTCTTGCTCCACTCTGAGCCTCTTGCCCCTGCCACTCCAGGGTTGAGGGCTGAGGCCAGCTTTAGAAACTGCCATGTTCTGAATGCATCGTCCGCAGTAGGCTGCGCAGTAGTGGGGCCGAAACCTTATTTCTATCCTGTTCTCCGAACCGTGCCTACTTCCTGCTGGGCCGGTTTGGGCCCCACCCTCTGTGTCATCCTAGCTCCTCTCTTGCTCCCCTCCTAGTTGCAGGGTGGGCAGATGTTCCTGAATATTGCTGTTATGGTGGTCATATTTCTAGCTAGCCTACAAAGTCCTTCCTAACCCTGTGATGGTTTTGTTGCTGTTTGGGGTTTTTGCAATGGGAATAGGGAACGATTCTGTCCAGACTATGCTGTATTTCGGCAACGCTGTGTTTAACTAGCCTTTCAAGTTAACCCAGTAGCCAGTCACCAAGATTGGAAAAATGAATCTTGAGTTCCAAAAGCTGACTTTAAAATGGGATTTTGGAATATATTCTGTTGATGTTTGCTCAGCACTCCTTGCGTGTTGATCCGGAGGCTTCTTCGCTTCCTCCGGCAGCAGGTTTAACGCACACCCTTCCGGCTGCAGGACGCGCAGGGCGTGGAGGAGCGGGAGGCGCTGGCGAGGATGGCGGCCACCGTGGAGAACGCGGCGTCGGCCGACGCGGAGGCCCACATCGAGAAGTACCTGCGCAGCGTGCTGGCCGTGGAGAACCTGCTCACCCTGGACCGCCTCCGCCAGGTCGGCCGGGCGGGCAGGAGGGCCAGGACAGTGGTGTTGACCCAGCGGGGTCCATGTGTGGCTCTCTGTGGTTCCCAGTGTTGTTGCATCTGAACTTTTGAAGAGTTTACTATATAGAATGCAGTTTACTTCGAATAATCCAGAGTGGTCGAGCTGGGGTCATTTGGTCATGTTCAGCAGCAGCCATTGTTTAAATAACTGGGAATGTCTAGGGACGGTGCATCCGAGCAGGAGGCAGTCTTGCTCTCGGGCCGTGTCTCATACGCATTTTTCTCTGTATGTTTTCTCATTCACAGGAAGTTGCGGTGAAGGAACAGTTAACGGGAAAAGGGAAGTTGAATAGGAGAAGCATCAGCTCTCCAAACGTGAACAGGGTGAGTGCCGGGAATCCCAACGCCGTGCTCTGCCCGGGATCTCCTTTCCCTCGTCTTTGCTTAAATAACCCTTCTCCGACCTGTAAATCTCATCGCAGATGTCCTTCCTTCCCTGGGTGTCTGTGCGTACCTCTGCCCCTATTCCTACTAATATGCTAGGGGAACCGTCCCTTAAGTATTACACTTTCTGGATGTTTCTCATTTATCTTCCAATCACCACTGCCTAGAGTGGACGGTAGATGTTCAGTGAACGTTTGTGCAACTAAACTAAAACTAGCCAAGTGCCCAGGACAAGCCAGTGACATTTTCTGAGCTTAAACTAATTATTTTTAAATTGAGAAGTCTGGACTAGGTTTACAAACTGATTGCTCCAGGCCATGCAGGGTAGTGTAAATGAGTAAAGTAGGCTAGGTTTGTTTCACAGTGGTGGCTTAAATTTGTTGTTTTTTAAAACATAGGTTAGTTTATGGATATATTGAACATGAGACTAATTCTTCACATGAGAAATATGCTTACAGCCCCTAGATTTATTGCTCCTTTCCTTGTTTTTGATAAAGATGTAGATATGAAAAACATAGCACTTTAGAAGAAAAGTCACAGTACGAGTATTGTCAGAAAAGGCAGCTAACCTTAGCCTGGTGTTTGAGGGAGAAGCGTGAGTAATAGGAAAGGTTTCCGGCTGGAGAGCCGTGTGGCCCCACAGCGACCATAGAGTGACATCCTGAGATCGAGACCATTCTCAGACATTTAGAAATACCACTTTAATTCAAGGTAAATATCTTCAACATATTAAAGTATACTGATCTATGCAGAGAACTTGGTATTTGGGATCTGATAGTTTAAAATAAAGTTTGTGAGTTCGTATTTGCTACAAATACCCAGAGAAAAGGGATGATGAGCTCAGACCATGGTAAGATAACAGTAACCTGGCACCCTTCAAACAGAAGGGCGTCAGCAAATGCGGCATCTCTTGGTGTTGCCGCAGCGTAAACCGGACGTCCAGGTCTTACATGAACCTCGCATCCGAAAATCATTGGTAACCGAGTCCTTGTTCTCAGTGTCCAAAGGCCACTAGTCTGCAGCGCTGGCCTCGGCAACCCCCCTGCTGCCTTCCAGCTTTGCCCCTGGGTGACTGGGTCTAAGCCCTGCGCGTCCTGGACCGTGTGCTGTGTATTGGGCACACAAAGGACTAATCCTCCTGTCTTTCTTCCTCAGTGGTCTGGAAGCCGACAGGATCTCATCCCATCCTACAGTCTCGGCAGCAACAAAGTGAGTGTTCAGAACTGTTTGCATCAGTCTGAGACTTACTTCCCTTTTAGCTTTGATCCCCTCAAATATCACATGTTGCTTTTGCATGCCAGAATCTCTCCTACTCCCTGTACTATGTGAAATTTATTGGAAAGTGTGTAGAATTCATCTCTTTTAACCTGCCAGTTAAAATAAGGTTTACTAGACCCCTTTACTATCAGGGTTAAAAACAAGTTGTTTTGCTAAAGTTCGTATTTCTGTCTAAAATTTTCTTCCCATTTCTTTCAGAAAAGGAACCTTAAATCAGATTTTTAATAGTCAGGTATTGAAATGATGATTGAAAACTTTATGAGAAATAAGAAAATTGTGCCTAAAATTTAGTATTATTTGTTAGAAGAAAGAAAAATAAGGAAACAGAAGTTTTGTTAGCTGGAATTTATCTGTTTCCTTGTTAATAGAGCTTTCCCTATTGAACAGAGTTTCAAGCATAGATAATGCTTACTTCAGAGAGGTTGGCATGCCTTGAAACTGTTGTGCCTGAATGCCACACGTCACCGTCAGCGCCTGTCGCTTTTGAGGGGCCGGGTGAGAGCTGGCAGCGTCGGCTGTGCGCTGCTCGCTCGGAATTGACGTCGCAGCCCTGGGGGAGGGCAGTGGTGGGTGCTGTCCTGCGGGACGGGTGCTGTGAAGAGATGTCGTTACATGATCTGGGGTGGTGGGGATAGGAGTCGGTCACAGAGACAGGCTGTTTCACGGTAATTATTAACCCTTTGCAGTCGGATGTCGAGTGTGGATAATGTGAAGTGGATGATGAGAGAAAAGCAAGCGAGTGCAAAGTTAAGGCGGAGTGGAGTCCATTGTACTATTTCTGTTTTCCATTACTCTACACTGTTTTTGTATGTTTGACATTTTCCTTATGACAACTTGGGAGAACGGTAGAGATGAGGTTGATGAACCCATGACATTTGCAAGATCTAGATTACCAGTCGTCTGCCTGCAGTAATACATATGTTTACAGACATATAAATTGCTGCTGCTCATCGGCTCACGTGGTGACCCGCGTGGACGCAGGTCTCTGCACGTGTGCTGGAGTTCGGTACTTGCTCATACTCAGCCAACAATGGGCTTGATTAGCTAAGCTTAGCGTAAGTTGTGATTACCTGAAGAAAGCAGAGTTTTTGGAAAAATTGTAGAGTCATTTTTAAATATAAATAAAATGTCCTAAGGAAAATATATTTACAAGAAAAAAACATGACTCTCTCTGTTTTGGGGGAAATGGATCTAACCCAAATCTTCAGTTGTAAGGTCCCGGAAAGAACTGGCCAGAATTCTTGAACTTTTCTAACTCTGCTCAGTTTCCCCTCTAAAAAAGGAGACGTGGTAGAAAGCAGTGGTGTCCACCCCAAAGAAAGTGACCGTGGCTCATCCACACCAGTCAGCACGCAAGGAGGAGCAGACGTTGTGACAGGGCACGTAGGTACAGCTGGAGCGTGGCAGGGGTGGACGCCCGCGGACATCACCCAGGGAGCCTAGGAGGCCGCAGGGCGGGCGTCATTCCTGAGCTGCCCACTGCAGGGGGCCCAGGTCTCACGAGGCTGGGGAGAGGCGCCGCTGGGGGCCGAGGGAGCCTGCTGTGTTCAGGACGGTGCCCCTGGGCGAGGCCGCGTGGCGGGAGTGTGCGGGCAGCACCTGGACGGGAGGGGCCTCACAGATGAGCCAGGGAGTAACAGGCCTCCTGGGGGGAGACAGTTGTGACTGCAACTCGCGTGCGCTGTCTCTGGGGTCTCTGTGTCCTGTGAGTCCACGTGTCTGTCCCTCTGATGCTGATGACATGTCAGATCATAGATTGCAGGGTCCGTGTGCTGCATCTTCCATGCCACATGCCACCACACCACACAGGACCACGAGGGGCAGTGGGAATAATGTCCAGAAGCGAGGACAGGCAGGGTCATGTCTCCCCCCAGCCCTCTTAGTTTTCAGCAAGTGTCGGAGCACGGAGTCCTCAATCGGGCACTAGAGTGACACTGAGAGGGTGGCAGGGGGCAGGAGCAGAAGACTCTGGTAGGATTAGGGCCACTGGGAGGTGAGAAGAAGTGGTCAGTTTCTAAAACCAAACTCACGGTTTGGCCTAGTGACACTTGGAGTTAGACCAGCCCTGTTTTCCAGCCCTTCCTTGTTGCTGCTACACCAAGACCGAATTGATGAACTAACTAATCTTAAACAAAAAAATAGAATTTGATTAACTATTCCAAATTTTACATTCACCATAGGGCCTAAAATAAAGTCACTCTTGGGATGAACCTTTCAGTTAAAAATACTGATGTTACCATTCCCTGTTATTGGCTGTTCATCATCATCGTAAGCATATTCTTGGTTGGTGTAGTGACGACTTCACAGGCTCTTCGTGGCCATCTCCGGAGACCGACGGGTGCTGGGTGCAGAGTTAATTTCGGCGCGTGACTGGTCTTTCCACCTCGGGAGGCTGTGCGCCGAGGTCCTCTGCAACACAAGGGACACTCGACAAAAACGCTGTCATTTCTAAAGTCACTTTAGGGGAAATTATATTTTAATAAACTAGTAAGTAGCACGTTTGTCACCTTCTGGTTGGAGTTGTTGATGAAGTTAACATCAGAGAACAGCCGGAGCAAATGCCAGCTAGCAAAGCTGGGCTGTGCGTTTCGGCCGCGCGCCTTCCGGAACGCCGGCGCCGTCGGCACAGCCTGGTGAAGGTGCTGCCAGGCGGGAGTCGCGTGAAAAGGTGTCTTTGGACCTGAGATGTCACCGGCGCTTGTCTTTATTTAGCGTCGTCACTGTCCTGACCCAAACCAGATTCCAGTAAGGAAAACCCAAACAGGCTGTGCCTGGCATAGGAGCAGGGACAGGAAAGCCGTAGGCGCCCGGGGGACCGAGCACGTCCTCACGTAGGAGCCCCTGCGCGCTTGCGTGTTCCCCTTCACTGTTACACACAGCGCTAGATGCAAAGAACTGCTGGATCGAGTCGGATTTTATTTTTTGGACTTCCCCCGTGAGGACAGAGACTCCCTAATAATGAGGAAGCTAGTTGAGGGGCTCGGAACAAAGCCAGGGGCTTCTCCTGTACACCCTCGCCACAGCCGGCTCTGAAATCGATCGACACGAGCATGTCAGAAACAGATCAGAGGCTTATCTTTGTAGATTCCGGGCGGTGGAGTGTACATCACTGTGGTAGCAGTAAGTTATCCTGCTCGCTGCTAGAGCGGAGCTACGGAGAGAGCCAGAGTCCAGTGTCTTGTGAAGTTCTTATGTTTTCATCGGCCTGAGTTCATCTCCCTCTGAAGTACATTTAACTGGGCCGCTTCATTTTTTTTTTTTTTTTTTTTTGTCGTCCCCAACATTTCAGTAAAGGGAGGATAAGTCTAGAGCAGCCACGCATATAAAATTTATTGGAAAGTAATCATTGCCTTGTCCCTGGGGGACAGTCTGTGTGGCAGGACCCCGAGCCACAGGTTCCATCCTGGCACGGGAGTGGCTGTGCAGAGCGGAGTGAAGACAGGTCGTGGAGTCCCTCCCCGGAGATCCGTGGCTGGCAGCTGGAGGAGGGAAGAGTGTGTTGTACCCAGTTTATCAGCCGAATTTTTTGGTCCCTCTGAATGAGAGCTCTGTCTCTGGGCAGTGGGACCCAGGGACAGGGAGCGCGTGAGGATCCCAAGTGAGGATGACTGTCAAGGTAGAGGACAGAAGCGAGCTGCGTCTCAGTTTTTCATCATCCCACAGGGCTAGCAAAATGGCCCGGGCGGAGTCCACGTACTATGCACACCCTTTTCAGATGCTGTCCCCCGGGATATCTGAGTGCGTGAGACAGTGAGTTACCGCTTCTATTCCCACGTGGCAGAGCGTTGTGTGTAGGAGTGCCGGCTGGGAAAAATGACCCTGGAAGCTGGCAGAGCGCTGAGGGTGCCTCGGGGAAGAGGTGACACCTACATGATTTGTCACTGGCCTGTTCTACGTCGAACAGCCCAGGTGCTGACTCCAAATCAGCTACTCAAGTTTTCCTAAGGGACAGACTGCAGCTATGCCAGCTGCCAAACAAGGGAGCAAATCTGAAATATGAAAATGGATTTATTCGCAAATTAAGCAAGTTGTCTTCGGAACAACCTTGTATAAGCTTGACACTGTAAACAAAAGCACAGGGCTTTTCTTCCCCTGAGAAACTCCTAAGATTATTGACCTTAGCGCCAGTCACCTGATTGTGATATCCTAGAGTACACAGCCACCACTTCCCAGACAGGTGATTAAGTTTAAATGCAAAACAATTTAGCAAAACATTAAAAAGCATGGAAGTCAGCGTGTGGTTCATAGGAGCGCCGGCACTCCCCAGTGAAGCAGTTCAGAGTTCGTAGTTGCCCTGATGTGTGTTCGTGTCTGTTTTGTGTTCCTTGCTTTCTAACGAATGCTGGATGTCACACCATTTTTAAGAATGTTATTGAGGGCTGAGGGTTCCTAGGGAAAAGAGGCATTCTCTGAGAATACAGGATCCCGATCACTTAGGGTCATTGACTTTTATGGTCAGTGCTTAGGTTGCTGCTAAGAGTGGATAGCTTTCCAATACGTGTCCGAAACCCAACGAGCCTTTCCACCTCGATCCATCTCCGAGAGCAGCCCAGAACCTGCTGTTTCACCCTGCTTTTCAGGCAATTAGTAAAGAAAACTTGAGTTAATCATCAGGGTCATTCATCTGTGAAACACTAGCTTAAACTCGTATTACAGACCATTATTAAACCCTAGTGAAAAAGGCGTTCGTGATTATCAGAGGATCAAAGGGAACTTAAAGCATTTAAATGATTTGTAGCTCATTTCTTACCGAATTTTGTACCAGTAACGTGGTTGGGGTTTATTTCTTCATTAGACAGGGCTGATGTTAAAAGTGCTTTAAAGGCATAGCCGTTTTACAGCTTACTATGGGATTTAGGAATGGTCTTTTAATCCATCAACTGATGGAATCTCTTGAACGGGAATTTATAAAATAGGCTGAGAATACAATAAAATTTGTTAATTCAGAGACTTGTGTAATTGAGAACTTGTGGTTATGTGACTTGGATTTAACTGGAATTTATCTTCAATAACTGTTAATAGGGAGAGTCTTGGTAATATACTGAGAATTTTGACTTTTATGAACTGTGTGTGAATGGATGCAGATACATGCTGCTGCAGAGAGGGGAGGCATCTTCCGACAGTAGAGCGTCCCCGGGTTTCTGGGGTGGGAGCGGGGTGAGGAAGGGGTCTAGAGGCGGGACAGCAGCAGCAACCTCAGAGGCGGAACTTAAGGGAGGACTAAGGGAAAGGAAAATCCTTGTACATCCACATTTTGTGGGGAGGCAACTTGATATACGTAGTAGAAAGAATATTCGGGTAGAACCCATTAGGAATTTTAAAATGGGGTGCAATCCAAATGTGGGGCGCTGTTGTTGTTAGGGAAATTAATATTAATACAACATTAAGATAAGTATAAGAAAGAAACGTGCTCATGTAATCAAACTTACCATGTCCTGTAAAGGGACTAAAGCTTCAATGATTATGTTTTAGTTTTTTTCTTGAATATCTTCAATTTTTTTTGTTAATTGATAAATTTGAAACAAGATTACCCACTCTGTCCTTCCCAGGGCCGGTGGGAAAGTCAGCAGGATGTATCCCAGACCACAGCGTCCAGAGGAGTGGCTGCAGGCCCCCCGGCCCTGCCTGTTTCTCCCCAGAACAACCATTCCCCCGATGCAGGTAAGCTCTCTTTTCATTTCTCAATTGCTGTCAGGAAGTGTGAGCACTGTCAGAAAGTTTCAGTGAGGATTTCCTGCCAGGCAAACTCTGTTCTACTAGTTAGTGTCCATCTGGATTTTCCCCTGTCTTGTCTTAACAAGTTGAGTTACATTGGTTTTGGAATGTTGAATTTATCTTGTATTCCTCTGATTAATACCACTTGATCTTGGTCTATAATCCTTTGCATTGCTTGACTCTCTTGGCTAATATTTTGTTAGGGTTTTAGGGGTATGTGCTCTATAATGAATATCTGTAATTTTTTTTATTTTCCCATATTCATGTCTTTGTTAAGTTTACATGTTTGCATTGGCTTCATAAAATGACTTGGGAGATACTTTTCCTCATCTTGTTTTCTGGAGGAGTTTATGTAAGATTGGTATTCCTTCTTCCTTAAATGTTTGACAGAATTCCCTAGTGACACTCTCTGGGCCTGGAACCTTCTTATTGGGAATATTTTAAATTATGACTTGAGTTTCTGTGATACAGGGTTATTTAGATTTTTCTATCTTTTTATGAGTCAGTTTTTCTAAGTTATGTCTTTCAGGGAATTTTCTATTTCATCTAGATTATTAAATTTATTTTCATAAATGTCACATTACTCTTTTGATATTTGTAGGATCTCTTGTGATGTTTATTCTTTTTATTCTGATACTGATAATTTTTATTTTCTTGAATATTTTTGCAACAGGTTTGTGAGATATATTAATCTCACAGAACCAACTTTTGACTTTGTTAATTTTCTTTATTTTCTATTTCCTTGATTTTTAAAATTTCTTTCTATATTTCACATATTTTGGTATGTTGTGCTTTTGTTATTCTATTCAGAGTATTTTTAAATTCCCCTATGATTTCTTCTTTATTGAATAGCATGTTAATTCATTTTTGTGTATTTGGATATTAGGTAACATTATTTCTTATTTAATTTTATTATGATCAGGGAACAGATTAGTCAATATTTCAGTCTTCTGAAAACTTTTGAGGTTTATTTTATGTCCCAGATTGTGTTCTATCTTGGTGAACATTCTATGTGCACTGTTGTGTTTTGGGGGCATTGTGTTCTGTATGTATCAAATGAGGTCAGTGTGGTTGATGGCCTTGTTTAAATCTTCTGTGTCCTTAGTGGTTTTGGGGAGGCCTATTCTATTAATTCCTGAGAAGAGGGCATTAAATATCCAAGTGTGACTGTGAAAATTGTGTCTCCACTTCCCTTTCTATCCGTTTTTGCTCATTCATTTAGAAACTCTGCTAATTAGCTACATGCACATTTCAGATATTGTTATGTCTTCCTGATGGAGCAACCTTCCCATTATGAAATGTCCCTTTTTATTTCTGGAAAAACTCTTGAAATCGATCTAGTCTGTTATTAATGTAACCACATGAACTTTCTTGTACTCATTGTTTGCATGGTATATCTTTTTCTCAGCCCCTACAGGCCCCAGGGGCTCTGTTCTTTTAAGTTTTTTGGTTTTAACCTTTTATTTTTACTACTTCTGCCATTTCCAGTGTTCTCTTAGGTACATCCAGGGAATTTTTCATTTCAGTTATTGTTCTTCTCCAGTTCTAGAATTCATGTTTGCTGCTGCTTTTATAGTTTTAAGTTCTCTGCTGATAGGAACTATCTGTACATTTATTTGTTAAGACCATATTCTTCTTTATATCCTTGGACTTGTTTATTAAAGCTGCCTTACAGCTTGAGCAAGAGCCAGACCCTGTCTCTATTAAAAATAGAAAAATCAGCCGGGTGTGGTGTTGCACGCCTGTAGTCCCAGCCGCTCGGGAGGCTGAGGCAGGAGGATTGCTGGAGCCCAGGAGTTTGAGGCTGCTGTGAGCGAGGCTGACGCCACGGCACTCTAGCCTGGGCAACAGGGTGAGACTCTGTCTCAAAAAACAAAAACAATAGCAAAAAACTGCCTTAGTGTCTTTGCTAAATCTGGTATCTGGACCATATCATGGTCTATTATTGTTGACTCCTTTTTTATTGACTGTGGGTCATATTTGGTAAGTTTTGTGAGATGTATTTACAAATGATACACACCCCTGGGATTTACACGCCAGGCAGGATGTGGAGCATTTACACGACTCCGGTCATTCCTCACTCCCCGCCGGTGTCCTGGTTTCTATTGCTGTGGATGACTTCTGCAGTTTGAGATAAACGGAACCATGTAATATATGCTCTTTTTGTGTCTGGCTCTTTTGCTCACCATATGTGCTTAAGCCTTCCATATGGCTTCTTACATCAGTAATTTATTCTTTGTTATTGCTGAGAAATATCTCACTGTCATGCATTGGATTTGCTGAAGAAACCAGGTTCCTTTGTAGTGGACTGATACAGTAAGCTGGGTTCTTGCACAGCGTAGACTCTGCACATTCTTATTTTTGCTGGTTGCATTCCCCTGAGGTTGTTTCAACGCGATTCTCTACCCCTGTATTTCCTGTAAATTGGTAGTTAGATCCAGAGCCTTGATCAGATTTAGGCTAATTTTTTTTTTGGGGGGGGGGGCAGGGTCTCACTTTGTTGCCCAGGCTAGAGTGAGTGCCGTGGTGTCAGCCTAGCTCACAGCAACCTCAAACTCCTGGGCTCAAGCAATCCTGCTGCCTCAGCCTCCCGAGTAGCTGGGACTACAGGCATGTGCCACCATGCCCGGCTAATTTTTTCTATATATTTTTAGTTGGCCAATTAATTTCTTTCTATTTATAGTAGAGACGGGGTCTCGCGCTTGCTCAGGCTGGTTTCGAACTCCTAACCTCGAGCAATCCGCCCGCCTCGGCCTCCCGGAGAGCTAGGATTACAGGCGTGAGCCGCCGCGCCCGGCCAGATGTCGGCTAATTTGAGGTGTGCGTGTGCGCAGTGGGGAGGTTGGAGACGCACAGTGGCTGGTCCCTCGTCTTGTGTATGTGCAGCCTTTGATTGATTATCGACTGGATTCTTATTGAACTGGCATCATCCCCGCTCTAGAGTGCTACTTACACTTGGCGTAGAGCTCTAGGTTGTCCATAACTTGTTTCCTCAATGTTGAGATTATATTTTTTTGGTTCTGTTTTCATCTTAAACTTATTTTTTGTGTCTCCTCTTTTGTTAGTTTCTTCCTTGTTTTTGCCTTCTTGTAGATCATTTGAATTTTCTAAACTCAGTTGGAATGTGTCGCTTGGAACTATAGCCATCTCTTTGCTTTTTTTTTTTTTGGTGGTTGCTCTCGTGATTACAATATATATCCTTAACTTTTTGAAGTCTACTTAGCCTTGATGTTACATTACTTTATATAAAATGCAGAAACCTTACAGCTGTGTTGGTCTGTTTACCAGTTGCATCGCCAGTGAGTTTGGAGTCCCCTCGGGGTCGGTGTGGAGTGGAGGTCTGGGGTGTTGTGCCCGTCTGTTGGGGCGAGTGTACACATTCCGGAAGGAGATGTGATCTTTTTAATATGTTCTGTGGATACAGCTTTTGTCATTTGTGACTTGGATTAGATTTTCCTGTAAGTCAGTGGGGAAAGTAATCAGTATGAGAGGTATTACCTGCACCTTTGATCCCAGCCTTTGGTAGTTAAAAGGGAAGCAGGTAAGTAGTTCAGAGTGTCCGTCCCTCTCTTGTAACAAATGACTCAGACACCACACTTTCCCCAAAAGGTCAGTTTCATCATCTTCCTTCAGTAAATAGTTATGAAAAATTAGAGTTGAACAAGACATAGTCCCTGACTTCAAAGAGCTTAAAGTCCAGACAGATAGCTATTGTGTGTGTCATTGGCTATGAGACTTAAAATCAAATCCCATTGTAGTCTAGGGCAGAAGTTAGTACTCGTCCCAGTTAGTGAGCAGGACAGGGGTGGCTTATCCTTCCCATACTCACGGGGACACTGTTAGAATGTTTTGCAAGTACCCCAATTGTGGTCGTTTAATCGGAAAAGGAAACACGTTTGAGGGTTACCATAATATTGTGTTTTTCTAATATCCATTTCTTAAGGATACCTTTTTTTGACTTCTATTATTAGATTTGCTTGCAAATGATGTTTAGCAAATATGCAGGAAAGAAAATGTCTTGTTTTTGTTTATCCCTTTTCCTTTGAATGTTGTTGGCAGGACACAGTAGCTTAGCAGCCTCCTACTTGAGTCCTGTGAAGTCCTTGGTGCCTCAGATGCCAAAGCTCCTGAAGTCTCTCTTTCCTGTCCGGGACGACAAGAGGGGCAAACGGCCGTCTCCCGTGACGCAGCAGGTAAAGAGCGTCAGGAAAGCACCCGGGCCCCTCTTTCGGATGGACCGCTGGCGCACTGACGTGCTCTGCGCGCAAGCTAGAGGTGGCGTGGGGTCGGGGACAGGATTAGAACTGGGTTTAACCCGAGGAAGCTGGTGGTCATTTCTCCCCCACTCTCTTTGAGATAACAGAGCTGTTTAAGCTTCCTGACACGCTCCCTGCTTTCTGCTTTTAAAAAATGCCAAGGACACTTCTAATGTGATTTATGGTAACATCACTTAGAGCAACAATAGTAAAATTTATGAAGTGCACTTAATGTTGTTTGTGTATTGCCAAGTAGAAAATGTAATTCTATTTTTAATTCTTGATTTCATTTCTTTTTTTCCAAACAATTTTATATCACGACTGTCCTTCCCTCTCAACCTCTATTTCCTCTACCGTGGATAACCTGTTCTTTTGCTTAAAAGTGATCACTTGTCTTATATCCTTTTTTTCTTAAAACTCTCGCCCCAGCCCTAGGATATAAGTGTTAAAGAAAACGTTAAAGGGTTTTTTGTCCAAACAATCAGGAAGCTGCTCTTATGCAATGGCGGATGGGAACCCCATAGGAAATGCAATTTCTGGCCTTATGTAGGTGTTAACTCGGCAGAAAATGATAAATGAGGATTTATTTATACTCATTCAGAAACATACAGTGCAAGTTCTGTTGTTGAAATAGGTCTTTTGACATCAGCTTCTCCATGTTCTTTTAAACATTCAAGTTGCAGGAATGCAGGTGAGGAGTTGTCTAAGACTTAACCATTTAAAAGAATTTTCTAAGATTTTGAATGCATGTTCAAGGGAGATGGAATTAGTTTTATAAGGTTGCTGTGCAGATACGTTATTTTTTAAATCCAGCATTATATAAGCATACGCATATACATACATGTACACACAGTGGATAAAATTAAACACTGAGATTTTGCAGATGTTTAAACTGGGCACATAAGGGGTGCTTGACAGCTAACTGAAATGGATCTGTGACGTGGGGGTTGGGGGAGTTAAGTTATGGGGGAATATAAGGGTAGGTACAACTGATCTTCCCCAGTGGTTGGTTCTGTGTAAATATGCTAAACTGCTGTGTCATTGTTTCACTAAGTACGATTCATGAACTGCTGGTCAGATTTACTGAGGTAGGTGTTTTAAAAAATGAAGTTTCTAATTGTTAGTAGTGAAGTTTGATGAGCACTGTTTCTCACTTGCTGTTCAGTGAAGGCAGAGCCACGAAAGTTGAAGCAAATTGGAATTGTATTGGGAGTCCTTGAGTCCACCTACCATAATTAGAGTTATTTTTTTAAAGCTGTTTTCAGTTTTTGATGTAGCGAGTCAGGTCACCTGCTGCACATAAACACTGATTTGTACTCGTTGTGGCTTTTAAGTGACTGGTTCTCTGGGTGCGAGAGGAACCGACCATGTCTTAGACACAAACGCAGTGACTGCAGGTAACCGGAATTTGCATGTCCCGGTTAGGAGAGGTTCTTCTGAAGTATATGGAAGATTGCAGAAATAATTTTTATTCATTAATTCAAACTTGTTTATTTTTTGAGCGCATATGAGCAAAGGTGTTGGGGAAACTGACCAATTTATGAAATTTATCTTATTTCATAAATAAATGAAAATGGAAACCTCAAACTGGCCTCACTGTGGATGCCCAGTGGTGGCGCCGCACACTCCAGTTGCTTTGTGGAAACTCCCCTCCCCCAGACCCCGTCCTCCTCTGTTGCCCTCACGTCGGCGCTGGAGCCTCCTCGGTCTCCGGCTTCGGCTTCAGGGCTGCGCCGTCACCCCCTTCCCTTCTTAGCTGCTCAGTCCTCAGTTGCCTCTTTGGGGACTGTTGATCCCATGACACCTCTAATCTCCATCCTGAGCCCTTTTGTCCTTTTTTTTTTTTAATTTTTATTTATTTTTTTTGAGACAGAGTGTCACTCTGTTGCCAGGCTAGAGTGCTGTGGCGTCAGCCTAGCTCACAGCAACCTCAAACTCCTGGGCTCAAGTGATCCTGCTGCCTCAGCCTCCCGAGTAGCTGGGACTACAGCAACCTCAGCCTCCCAAGTAGCTGGACTACAGGCATGTGCCACCATGCCCGGCTAATTTTTTCTATATATATATTTTTAGTTGGCAAATTAATTTCTTTCTGTTTATAGTAGAGACAGGTCTCACTGTTGCTCAGGCTGGTCTCAGACAGGTCTCACTCTTGCTCAGAACTCTTGACCTTGAGCAGTTTTCCCGCCTCGGCCTCCCAGAGTGCTAGGATTACAGGCCTGAGCCACCGCGCCCGGCCTCTTTGTCCATTTTTAAATCTATTCCACGGTTACCTCCCACTCAGTTCCACAGCTTGAACTGTTCATGCAAGGTAACCAGAGGATCTCTCGCAACCTCATAGTAGTCTGTGACTCGAAAACTTGACTAAAATCCACATTTCTTACTGTGGCTTACAGTGTCCTGCGGGGACTTGTCCCCTGACCTTTAATCTTTTTTCCCTTTTTTCTCCTCTTTGTTTACCATATGAAGCTGCGTGAGCTGCTGTTTCTATCCCACAAACACACGAAGCTCGTTTCAGTATCAAGAGTTTGGTGCTGGCCTTCCACCTGGAATGAATGTTCTTTCCCAGCGTCCTTGCATGGCTGTCAGTCGCATGGGCTGCTACAGTGGTCAAGAAGGGGTCACTGTAGGGAAGTACTTGTGTTTGTCTAGTGCTTGTTAGTGCATCAGTTTTGGTGGCCTGTGATCATTAAAGGATTATCCAATAAGCACTATCAGACATTTCGATGTTTAGAACAACATCAAAGAGAGAATCCAGAAAAATATATATCAGAGCCTATGCCTAAAAGGAATCCGGATCAATTGTACAGTATAGGAAGTGGTAAATATTGATGTTAATATTGCAATAAAGACTTTGAGACAGTCAGTAGATGGTAATGCTGCTTAAGGTTTATGATATGAAACAGCACAAAAAACCCAAAGCAAAAACCCACAGATGGTTTGGGGGTCTACAGAGACCACACATGGAATCCAAACAGACCATGTTTGCCTTTTTTATTTCTCTCCCACTCCCTGATTTTTCCTTCCCTGATTTTTAAAACCATTTCTCTCTCCATTCCCCACCTACGAGGAATGATATTAAAACTACTTCCTTTTAATGTGTCTATCCCAGTTTGGTTTTGTTTCCTTCTCCGGAAGTGTCACAGTGACGAAGGAGCTCACACCATCCTGCCCGAGCCTGCGCCCCCAGTACCCTGGGCTCTCTTGCTTATTCGACGACACTAAGACGACTGCACTTGGCTCTGGACTTGCGACTCATGATACAGTGACCAGTTGGAATAGTTTAAGAAAATAACATCAGAAATGATTTATGAGGGAACATTAAAGGAGTTATTTGTAGCTTCACCAAACAGTGACTAAGAGAGTGACTGTATGAGCATTCAGGGGACGTCAGTGCCAGAGAAGGTGAGAGTCGGTTAAGGACGTTTCACTAAAGCAGTGACATGAATGTCATAGGACAGTAGAAATGAAAGTGACAAAGAGAATGCTGACAACTAGGAGTGAGTATCATGGTTTCTAGGTAACAAAGTACTCTCTGAAAAAGCAAAGTGGCATTTCTGTCTCTTCTGTTTTTTAAAAACAGGAAGTTGATTGGCGTATAAAATAATCCAGGAAAGGACAGAGGAATAGAGGTGGGTCCTGTTTCTGCCGGTCGTTCCTCATATTTTCATTCTTAGATTAGGTGGAAGAGGGCACAAGTTGTGTAATGAAGGAATGAGTATCATCAAAAAAAATGCTTTTAATCAGAGTGTCCTTGACATTTTCAGACGAGAATGTTCAGTTCCCTCCCTCATGCAAAGACACACAGACACGTACCCGCTCTAATGACAACACAAACGCTTATTGCCTGGTTCTTCGGAATCAGCAGGTTCTCGGATGAAGATGCTATTGTTCTCCTCTTACTATATTTCAGTATTGTATATCATCAGATGGATTTGACAAGGTTCTTGGATCTTGTAAGATGGAAGTTAGGTTTAAAAAGAAAGGTTATAATTCACAAAATCTTTTGGTTTGAACATATTCACAAAGACTTTTCATTTCTCATAGTTATGGAGATTTGTTTTTTGTTTGTAATCAATTTCTGTCTGAGTTCCAGAAATGCAAAGAATACTGCACTGAAAGAGGTGGCAGCTGACAAAATTGCTGTCTTTGACCTTCTGATGCAAGTTTAGTAACTAATCTGGAAAATAATGAACTGCAATTAATGAAATCTGTACTCATATTCAAGTGTGTTTCTCAGACAGCACATAAAATAATTGAAAGAACTTCCTGCTCTCTAATTAGATAGATTGAATTAATTTGGCATAATAGCTTTTTTCATGTATCAAGAAGTTTGTGTTCAGATGAAGCTATTTATGTATTTCAAAGTTAGGGACTCTAAATGGCGTCTTTGATTAATCTGGGGAATTGAACAGTTAATGGTCAGATATCCACCATCAAAAGGTATTTCTGGCCTGTCTTTATTTTAGTGTCTGTCGCTTTTGGTTAGGGCTGCTTTAGCAGCAGGGATGTTTTTCTCCTGTTTCTAACTAGCCTCCCGTGTGGTGGGTAGAGAAAGCCTTGAGTGGAGAGAGCAGCATTCCTCCATCTCTGGTTCGAATACTTGTGTAACTATCCGCTTTCCGTGACTGTGATTCTTGCGTATATAAAATGGGGAAGCCAGCACAAATGCTAGTTCTTCTCTTGTACACAGGGGTGCTGTTTTAGGCTAGCCATACTTGGGCTTTCTTGATGAAACAAAACTGTATAAATGCTTATCTCCGTGTCTTGAATAAGGGTTCATCATCCTAACTAAAAGAAGAAAACAGATGTATGCCTTGTTTTGCAGCCTTCAGTTTCCTTTAATCATTCAGGTTATTTTAAGAATCACATATATGAGCATCTTTCCTGTAATTTAATACCGATAGACGTATATGGCTGTGGCATGCTGTAGTCACTGT